TTTAATACACTATATCTAAGATTAACCACTGCTTGTCTGGATTGATGCTGAACTAGTTAGAAGTAAAAGCTTCCAGTCTCCTCCCCACTACCATACCAGAGTGGGCGGGGGTCGGTGCACAAGTCTGAGGTTCATCTATGTACATTCCAACCATAGCCTACATCTCCACGAGAGCTATGAGGGCAGGGGGAAGGAATGGAGAAAGGAACTTCCCTGGAAGTGAATTTCCTATCCTAGCAGAATCCCAGATAACCTTCCATATAACGAAGGCTATCATGGGCACAGAGAGCAGCGAAGTCCAAAGCCAACCCAAGGCCCAAGTGGTTCTAACAGGGGTTCAAGGCAAGTTGAGGGCCAGTTTGGGGGAGGTCTAGGTCAAGCAGGGACTCGGGGGGGAAATGCAAGTTGATGGACAAACCAAGGTCCAGGTAAGCAGAACACAGTGCTGGCAGCAAGATGTTGTTCCAGTAGCTCTCCCAGTCTCACATTGAGGCTTTTAGGCCAGAGCTATCGGAACCTCACCATGGGCCCAGCTGAAGCCCTTTAGAGGTTTCCATAGAGTCCTCCTCATGAAAAGGACCCTCCTCACAAGGAATCCTCTTCTGCAACCAAGCACTCCTCCTAACTGTGACTATCTTAGCCTGCCTCTAGAGGTGCTGTCATTTGCAGGGACTTGATGGTGGTTCTGCCTTCTGCTTCAGTCACTGATCTTGCTTTCTGCTGGGAGTGGTCCCTGCTAGTCTCCCACAAGGGTCCCGGCTCCTACTCAGCTGCTTTCTGGGGGCTCCAGATCATCCTTGGCCAGGGCATGACAGTGATGAGCAGGAAAAGGCCAGTGGAAAATTGAACTTTCAGAATTATTACCTGAAATACCCTGAACAGAGAAAACAATTTTCTTTGAGGACCTTGACAGGTAAGGAAAGGGTTGTGGCTTCTCTTCCCATATAAAAAAGTGGGGGTCCCTACACTTGCTTTTTCATTGCAGTTTCCAATGGCATATTCATCATCATGACTACTTTGACTCTCTTCCCATAGGGAAGAGTAGAAGGCTAGAAGGAAAAGCCAGAGAGGAGGAAACACAATGGGTGTGTAGTAGGGAGAGTGGAAGAGAAAGTGGTCCCCCATTATGAGAGGAAGAGGCGGCGGCTATATTGAAAAAAAATTAAAGGGGGTTGTTGTGATTAGACACAACTGTCTCTTTGAATTTCTAATTCACTAGTGAATTGCTTGATTTACTTGACCTGGTTCACCAGTAGTAGTTCGCTAAGCAAATGCTTTCAGACTATCAGTCTTCATGATCTTTTTAGTTCTCATGAAAGAGAAAAAGATGACATCGTCCACAAAGTACCTATTTAAAACAAAAGGGAAAGGGAGTTGGCCTCTGGGACCTGTTCAGTTAGATGAACAATTAGATGTGCTAATCACCCATGTCTCAAGTTCTAATAAGGCTAATGATGCTTTGAAGACGTATTTGTTTACCTGCTCACAGGTTAATTTCCATCCAAAATGGGATCAGACAAAAGTGCAACACATTTCCCTCATTTGCTTCTCATTTGCTATATGACTGGATCTGAACAGAAACCAAGAGACCTCATTAACACATCTCTGATGCATTTCTCAGTTTTAGTGAGGACAGCTACACAACAGCACTGATTAGGTGCTAATGAAGCCATATACTGCAGGACTTTTGCAAAAACATGGTTGTCTCTGATGGGACATTATACTTTGAAAACAAAAGGCAGCGAGACTCTTGGGGAAACTTTGCCTAATCAGTCACAAGAGGAAGAAGTTATTCCTGAGTTAGGTCACATACTTAAATAACCATGCTGATGGATACAAGGTCAACCTTTTGATCTATTTGTTAGGAAGAAATTTAAAATGTAGTAAAAGAAATATTGAACTGGCAGTGACATATTGACAAATGGGAGGTGTTTTATCTCATTTTACTGAGTTATCATGTTTTACTGTTACCAATTGTCTGATGTGTTCATTGCTGTAAACTGCCCTGACATTGTATGAAGAAAAGTACTTTAAATAAGTAGTAAAATTTTCAGTCATAATAATAATAATAATAATAATAATAATAATTATATATATTATTATTATTATTTATACCCGGCCCATCTGGCTGAGTTTCCCCGGCCACTCTGGGCGGCTCCCAATCAAGTATTAAAAACAATACAGCATTAAATATTAAAAACTTCCCTAAACAGGGCTGCCTTCAGATGTCTTTTAAAGATACGATAGCTACTTATTTCCTTGACATCTGAAGGGAGGGTGTTCCACAGGGTGGGCGCCACTACTGAGAAGGCCCTCTGTCTGGTTCCCTGTAACCTCACTTCTTGCAATGAGGGAACCACCAGAAGGCCCTCGGAGGAAGACCTCAGTGTCCAGGCACAACGATGGGGGTGGAGACGCTCCTTCAGCTATACAGGACCAAGGCTGTTTAGGGCTTTAAAGGTCAGCACCAACACTTTGAATTGTGCTTGGAAACGTACTGGGAGCCAATGCAGATCTCTCAGTAAGTGGTTTACGAAACATAATCAAGGAGAATTAAATCAAGGGAAATCATGCACATTGGTACTGAGAGGAATACAGAGCACAGGAAGCCACATAGCTCTGAATCAGTCTAGCTCAGCATTGTCCACACTGGCTGGCAGCAGCTCTCCAGGGTTTCAAGACAAGGGATTGAACCTGCTTTCTGTATGGAAAGCAGATGTTCTACTACACATACACAGAGGAGGGCGACCAAGATGGTGGAAACCAAGCCTTATGAGGAACTGTTGAAGGAGCTGGGTATGTTTAGCCTGGAAAAAAGAAGACTGAGAGGAGATATGATAGCCGTCTTCTTCAAATATCTCAAGGGCTGTCACATGGAAGATGGAGCAAGCTTGTTTTCTCCTGTTCTTGAGAGCAGGACTCGAACCCATGGCTTCAAGTTACAAGAAAGGAGATTCTGACTTAACATCAGGAAGAACTTTCTGACAATAAGAGCTGTTCGACAGTCTCCCTTGGGAGGTGGTGGACTCGCCTTCCTTGAAGGTTTTTAAGCAGAGGTTGGGTGACCATCTGTCACTGATGCTTTAGCTGAGATTCCTGAATTGCAGGCAGTTGAACTAGATGACCCTTCCAACTCTATGAACTATGACCCTTCCCCATAATTTTCCTTTTTGTAATAAGTCAGGTATTTTACTTAAAGGGGGGAGTGGAGCCACAATTTTCATTTCAGTAATCAGCATACTTAAGCCAGGTTTACAAAAGCAGACATGTTGCTTTGATCAGGAAATGTGTTTTATTGTCATCTGTTATATAACATCACATACTAGAAAGATCTGGTAACTGCACAGGTTTAAGAAACAACAACAATAAAAACCCACGTGTATAGCAAATGTTAAGTGGAGCACTGCATTTGAAGGCACTGTTCCAGTGCCCTCACAGCCTGACCCAACCCCAAGCATCTCTGCAATATGCAGCTCTTGCCTTCACAATCCCTTTCCCATCAAAACAAGGGCCATTTCATTAGTGATAATGTAAAGAGAAAGAGCGGGACAGAAGCACATAGCCATTAATCCCACTTTCTGTTTCTTAAAATTATGTTGCATGCCACCCCAGTCTCTGAGCAGTGCAACATTCCAGCAGTTCCAGGGTTCGTGTTTCCTTTTGGAAATGAGGCATGGCAGAGACTGGGGTGTCTTTATGATATTTGATTTATATTAAACATATATACAACCTGAACCTCTGATGGAAGGGTTCACAGCATTAACACCCCAAAAGCATCTTGTTTCTTTCATAGCCACAGCCGTGGAGTCAAACAGAAATCAAACATTGCTCTCCCTTTCTCCCCAGCTTGCTACTTTCCTTCTAGGCCATATCACTGCTAACTCTCTCCTCCAAACTTGGTTTGTCGGGGGGGGGGGGGCTACCTATTCTCTGTCTCGCACAGAGCCCTTTGTTCTCTTAACAGCCCATCACCCAGGCTATCACCTCAACACAGGAAGCTAGCCTGGCTTATATTTTAACACTTGCTGAAACCAGGGTTTTGAAGGATCTGGCATACAGCCTACTTCGTCCTCCCCAAACTCATAGCAGTAACAAACTCCAAATCCTTCCCAAATCCAAAGTAACAATAAAAATGTTGTGACCTGCTTGCTGATCAGTTTGACAGCTACAACCCTTGGCTCAGTGAACTCATGAGAGCTGCCAGGATGGTTGGGAGGGCTGCCATGGCAAAGGAAGGAGGAGGGGGCTTTTGCAATATCAGCAGGGGGGGGGGCTGCATCTTGTGCAGCCTAGTGGGATCTTCTAGAGTTGTGGGGTTGCAGGAACCTTCCAAAGGACCAGCTACCATTTCACTCTTCCTCCTTTTCCATCAATAGACAAAACTTCCTGGGGCTTGCAGCAGCAGCTGGTTAACAGGGCTGAAAATGAATTCCACACTCAATCTTAACTGGCCCTTAGTCTTTCTCTGGGTGGGTAGCAAGAGTTCTGTTACGCGTTCCTTCTTCTTTGTTGCAACTTGGCAGAAATAGAATTGGGTAGGCTGGGTGGATAAAGGGGGCTCCCTTTAGGGGACCTGAAAGGTGAGCAGCTCCCAGCTCAAGGTCCAGTGGGCTGGGCTGCTCAGCAGCCATCTCAAGGTACCAGTGGTCTCAGATGCTTGGTTTTGTACCACACTGGTCTCAGAGCTGGATAACCCACCAAATGGATGCCCCAGCCAATGAAGGTTGGCTTACAGGTTGAAAGTCTCTGATGTCAACAGATTGTCACCCAATGCCATGCTTGCTCTGCCTATGTCTGTTTGCCAATAAGTTGTGGCCCATTGGCACCCATACTTCTCTCTTGGTTGGTTATTTGTCTGCACCCTGTTTCTGGGCCATGATGGGGCTGCTGGAGCAACTGTACTGAAGCATCCCACATGCTTTTTCACTTTGACCTTCTGCTTCAAAATGGACAGTGCCTGGTAAAATACTGAAGAAAATACTCTCAAAGCTCAACGTGCTTCACTCCATAAAGAGCTGAGTCCTGGATGAATCTTGCTGAAAAACCTTCCCCAGTACAATCATCTTCAAGGCCCTTCGAAACCACAGGTAAAAATACGCATAAACAATTGGGTTGAAGGTGGAGTTCATATAACCAAACCAAACCAGGGCATCAATGAGAATGGGAGGTATCGCATAATTCATAAAGGGGTCTGTTGCCGTGCAGAAAAAGAATGGGAACCAGCAGATGAGGAAGACACCGACCACAGTGCCTAAAGTCTTGGCTGCTTTTCGTTCTCTGCTGTGTGAAATGTGATGCTCAAATCTGATCTGTATTTGGTTTGCAGCAGCCTTAATGGACCTGGCTTGCCTTTTGGCTATAGTGTATATCTTCCCATAGACACACAACATGACAAATCCAGGGATGTAAAAGGAAACCACGGAGGCCACCACTCCTGACGTTTCATTGAAGAAGACAAAGCAGCCTCCCACGCAGTAGATGAGCTTATAGAAGGTCTCTTCTGCTCCAATCATGTTTAACTTCAAAAAGACCATCCCAAAGCCAAATGTAGCAGGGAAGACCCAACTTACAAAGATCATGATCAATACGACCCCTGTGCTGATCTTTGCTTTGTATCGCAGTGGGTCACACACGGCATAGTAGCGGTCAATGGAGATAAAAGAGAGGTGGAAGATGGAGGCTGTACTCAGAGTGATATCGATGCTGGTGTGGATTTTGCAGAAGAATTCTCCGAAATACCAGCAGTTCTCAACCGACCTCACCATGCTATAAGGCATGACAAGGAAACCAAGGAGAAGGTCCACTGTGGCCATCGAGAGGATTAAGAAATTGGTCGGGGTGTGGAGCTGCTTGAAGTGCGATATTGAGATGATCACAGTCAAATTGCCAGCTAGGGTAGCCAGGATCACACACACCATGAAGATATACATGGAAATACGAATGCTGATTGACCAGCTGCTCTTTATGCAGGAGCCATTTATGTGTTCACAACACAACTGCATCCTTCCTAAAGACTCAGATTCCTGAAAGCACATATTAGGCCCAGTCTGATTGTGGTGTGTGCAGTTCTTCTTTTATGGTCAAAACAGGATCTATTTATTGTTACCATCCAGAAGAAGGGGGCTTCCTGCCAAGAGAGAAAATTACAACATGAATATTTATTTTAGGGCTGAGACAAAAGGTGTGAGTTTTATTTTCTTCTGTGTTAAGAGTTTGTAATTGTGTGAATGTTATGTGTGAGGGGGAGTGGATTTCATTAAGGGTGTGTGATTGTGTGAATGCACTTTGTAGTGTGTGTGTGTGTGTGTGTGTGTGCGCGCGCTTGCATGTCTGGGCACACAAATGGTGTGGGGAGTTGGCTCCTCTCACCACATGTGTGCAAGCGACACTGTGGCAACTTTCCCCATCAGAATATGGCCGTCAAGAGGAAAAAGTTTCCATACCTTATGTCAGTTGTGCAAGCCTGACATAAGCCTTTGAGCCCTTTCAAGGTGTTAGCAATCTTTAGGCTGACATGTTCGGCTTTTAAAGACCTAATGTGTAAATAACGTACAGAGGAAAATCACGATGCAAGAAGACTTCACACTGTCAATAATGGACTTTTAAGTTTATCACAATATTTGCCAGTGGGCTTTCCAGTAAAAAATAAAACAGTCATAAGGAGGAGGAAGGGGATGCGGCTTTTCAATCAGAAATGGAACACTGGCAATCCAGTCTACAAACCAGTTCCTTAATACAAATGGACTTTGCCTATTTACCCAAATGAGTTGAGCAGAATGATTCCAGCCAAATAATTAATCATTCAATAGTACTGATTACTTCACTGCAGTTACCAAGAAATGACTGTGATGCAGTAGGAGCTGGCCTGGACAGTACTGCATACTCAGCAGGTAAAACTCTGGTATTCTCCCCTCTCCCAGGCTTCCCATTCTTCTTAGTGCCAACACAGTTGTTTGCTGGACTATATTGCTGTGGAGGGGAGGGATGAAAGTCTGTTCCACTTGCCTTGCATAGGGTGACACTTTAGCTGCTGCATACAATACTTTGCTTGCAGCGCTACAGAGGATAGTGGCAAAAAGCAAAAAAAAAAAAGGATTAGACTGTCAGTATGTGGAAATGTCTTGTTCCTGGCATGATAAAAAATTCAGTTGAAATAAGGATATCAATAAATAGATAAATAGATAAAGAAATACATCATTTTGGAAACACACCAGCACACTCTTCTAGCCTAGCAAATGGTTCCCTTGAGAATCTCTTTCTGGGCATTTAGCCCATGAGATTTTCTACGTTACTCTTAAGAGAGTTTCCCCACCCACACCCCCAAGTGATTGAAATGCTTTTTCCAGACAGCGAATATTTTACATAACAGGTCCAAATCCTTACTTTCCATCTTTACTGCGGTGCAGCATGGAATGATGTATGAGCTATGATTCTAAGGCCTTCTCTTCATAGCCATGTTGGACCCAGGACAGCATAGATGAAAACAGCTGGACTTAAACTTTCCCACTGATGTGACAGAAGATTTAGTATCTTGAAGGTACTACTCATCCAAAGGTTCATCTGCTCCCTTTCAGTCTGGTTTCCTTGACTTTTTGTGGGCTGTTTTGCTGATTCATTTCTAAGAAATTCTCCTCTGTGTTCTCTTCATCGTGAATGAGATCATGATAAATTATGTTAAATGATGGATTCCAGAACACAAGAGGCCATGAAATGTTTTGGAGTGAAGGGTCTCCATCTGAATTTTTGCCAAAGCCATTGGTCTCTCTTTAAGCCACCCCCAACCTGATGTCCTTTAGATGTTTTACAGCACAACTCTCTTCATCCTGACCTTCCTGGCTGGGGCTGAGCATTGGAGTTCTAACAACATTTGGAGAGTACTTTGTTAGAGAAGTCTATCTTAGGCCAAAATATTTAAGAAGCGAGGGGAGATAAACCTTTAAGGATGTCTAGAGTCACAATTGCAGCTTAAATTAATGTGTTGGGTCAACATTGTTGCAATTTACTATGTCACACCCAAGTGGTATTATGCAGAACAAATGTCAGGCTGCTGCCAGCAACTCCAGGCTGGTTGCCCAGGAACGTACAAGACAAGGGGATGTTTCTTATCATCCTATTTTTATTTGATATTTAATTGGATATTGGCATTGTCCCGAGTGAATCTCTACCCCCTGTTTCTCCCACTTCCTCATTTGTCATTCTCATCGTCTCTTCCATGGGTGCTGCTACGTGCCCTCTGTCTTTGAGCTCTTTGCTCTCCTACTTTCAAGCCTTGCCAGATTCTGGGAGATGGAGGGTCTGGAATGCTTTCTAAAGACACTGTGTCTGTCAGCTGTTGCCCTCCTGCTGCTGCTTCCTCCTCCTCCTCCTCTCTCATTATTTCCCAACTTTCCCCCTCATCTGCCTATAAGCTGTGACCTCCCTCAAACCCCTGTTGTAAATCTAAACCATCCTCCTCTGCCCAGTCCCTGACAGCAAATGAATACTCTTCAGTTGGACCATAGTATTCTGAGGGCCTGCTTTCATGTCATTACTTTTACTCAGAGGAGCTTCTCCCAAGTGCTGCACCTGGGAAAGTGTAACACTTGTGGCTATTCAAGAATCAGACCACAGTTCAGCAGGCAGCTGAGCAGGGCGGCTCATTTCCTATTTAGCAGATACTCCATCCTGATTAATTTAATATTTTACATTTCCTCATTTTAGTTTCCTTGTGAGTAATTGTCTCTAGTCTCCTTTACACCTAATGATGACAAAGGCTCTGTTTTAAGAACTAGCTAATCAAGTCTGATCTAATTGAACAATTCTTAACATTTATCAGTTAGAGAAATAACTGCATTAAGAAATAATAATTCCCATCACTATCTGTCAGTTTTGTTGAATGGAGCAGGGGAATAATAAAATAATGCAAACAAACAAATTAAGAAAAGCACTTTAGCTAAGAGAAAGCGACATTCCATTTAAATGGGCTGTAGATTATAAAAATGCAAATCTAGCACAGATCTAAATATTGTTCTGTAGAGTGCCTGGCAGGGGGACTTAGATTTAGGCTCCCAGCTTTATTAGACTTACTCGCAGTGCTCTCATCCACAACATCATCTAGGCTGGGATCCTATTTAGTGCCTCAGATTAGGCCCAATCTAACCCAGGATTACTCAGAGCCAGAGATTACTCAATGCAGGGCCAGTGGCATTGTCCCTATAAGGGAGAAGATGCAGAATCAAAGAATAATCAACTGAGCAACCTAGTAGCTCCAAAACCAACCCTCACAAATATGGTATACAGTACAAGGGCATTTTAGAAATAAAAAGATCACCATAAGACATTGCAGCAGAAAATATGCAATTAGGCAATTTCTAATAAGCAATGCAATAACAGTGATTGGAAATACAAAACAGTGAAATTCATCTAGTTGCAGAGTACTGAGGCTGTTAGTTGATTCATTTGGTCTTCAATCAATCAAAGAAATCTTTATAAGAATATTCCACTTCATCATTCTGTTCCTACCATCTCCTCTGGAACATTTTTACTGAGAAGGCAAGAGATGTCGTATCAGAAAGCTGAGAGGTAAGGATATGTGGAAGAGGAACATGTGGACCACTTTTGGAGGTGGAAATTTGTGCTGCTAATCTGCCACCTGACACTTCTTGGGATGTAGCTCTCTGGAAAAACCTATTGCAAACCCACACCCTTGTTTCTCATCTCTCCACAAATCCATGCTTAATAATAATAATAATTTTATTTATTTATTTATTTATTTATTTATTTATTTATTTATACATACATACATACCCCACCCATCTGGCTGGGTTTCCCCAGCCACTCTGGGCAGCTCCCAACAGAATATTAAAAACATGATAAAACCTCAAACATTAAAAACTTCCCTAAACAGGACTGCCTTCAGAATTGTGTGTGGGTGAGTGTAGTTTATGGCAATTTATTATGGTATGCATTTTACATATATTGAACAATGTGTTGATGCTTAAACAAATACCTTAGAGAGACCTTGTTTTACTAGACAAGTTGCAAATTATGTCAGCTTTTCTTGTATTGACAAGACAATATTTCTTTTTATTTATGAAGTTCAAGGGTAAGTGCCAATCCTTATGTAGCCCAAACAGTACCATCCACACACAAGAGAGAGGTTTCAAGCATGATTTTCAGAGGATGAAAAAACCTCTATGAATGAGACACGCCCCCCCAAAAAAATTCCAGAATGGACTGAGCATCCTCAGTAGGCAAAGAATGCTAGGGATAGAATGGAGTGGCTGGAAATACATTCAGTAGGAATCCATAATGGCAACATTTTGGTGCATTCCTGGCCATCAAATGTGTTGATGGAGCACGCATATGCCCACCCAGCCCTGTTATGCCCCATTACACCTCTGCCCCACCCCATACCACCCTCTTCCAGGTCCAAAAATGACTTGCTTGTGAATGTTTGTGCATGCTTTGAACACACGCAAAATGGGGTTGCCTGTAAATGTCTCACTTTGCTTATGGTAAGATCTATTAGTCAATGTATTTAGCTGAGGTATTTCTCTAACATTAGCAAAGATTTTCAGCCCTAGAGCATCCCATCATAATGCTTGTGCTAGTCTTGAACTTTCCATGGAACATCATGGCATCCAAATGCAACAATGTTTAATTTGGGACAATTCCTTTTTTAGTGAACTATTTTCTCAGGGTTTGACAAACTAGGGTTGGCAATTAAAGGAAACCGTAAATCATATCCTTTAAACTTTTTTCTTTTTAAATACAGTAATCTTTTTAAAAAGTAGCAGACATAAAAGGTTAAACAGAAGCTATAATATCTGCATCTAGTTTACAAGTGCCACAAAAAAAAATGGCAAGGGAACATGCCATATTAATGCTAGGAGCTGTCAAAAACTTAACAGCTGGTGCAGCACAGAGCGGTTTGCCTTGTAACTAAAGCAATGGGGAGAGCAGTGAGGTTGGCACCCAGTTTCCCAGAGAATAAAATCTGTGTTGCAACAATAGGCTCCAG